CTTCTCTCGTTCTCAGTTAGCTTCGTAACACGCTCCCTCTGTCTTGCTTCCTCCTCCTTTAATTTCGCTTTGAGGTTTTCGAGCGACGGTATGTCATCACGTGACTCTATGGCTACACTAAAATTTTCGTATTCGTCAGGCAGTGATCCGAGAAGCATAATCGATAGTAATTCTTCTGGGATTTCTATTCCAGCTTCCTTCAGTTGATCAGCTTTACTCGTAAACTCGTTTACGTACTGCGTAATCGTCACATTCTGTCCTTTTTCCATTCGTAGTAACTGTTTGTACAACGTTGCCTTTCTAACAGGACCCCGTGACTGGAATATTGCTTTAAGTCCGTCCCACGCTTCTTTAGACGTTTTCTCACGTGGTTCAACTGCCCAAGACAAAGGCTTAGATTTATCAGCGCCAATGCCTTCGCGTCTTGCTTGATCCATTCCTNGCTTCTTTAGACGTTTCGGCGTTTCTCACGTGGTTCAACTGCCCAAGACAAAGGCTTAGATTTATCAGCGCCAATGCCTTTGCGTCTTGCTTGATCCATTCCTCTGGATTTCTTTCTGGTTTTATTTCAGTACCGTCAACGTATTTCCACAGGTCATTATATACGAGAACACTTTTCATCTGTATTTTCCAAAGTTCGTAATTGTCCTCGTTCAACTTCTCAATATTTGAGAATCCACTAGGACCTGCCATATCGAATTAGATAATAGATCCGTTTACTTACTTCTTATATTAGATATTCTTTCCTTGTAAGCAGTCCTGGGCCCATAACCTGTCAGAAGATGAAGCAAGTAAACGTATATCTTACGATGTACGGAAATACACAGTTATATGTAACACGACTACATGCACAAAGAGAGGGGAGACACGTGCTACACAGGGACGTAGCAAACTAGAACAAAGAAGATGACCTTTGACCAAAGTATGTGACACTCGCCAACTAGCGCCGTCTAGTACAAAACATGTCTTCTTGACCTAGCACACAGGGATTACATATTTGCTTTCTTTCAAAAAAATTAAAATAAGAGTAAGTAAAAATGCCAAAATTGGTCCAATCTGATTTTTGCATTTCATAGTAACATAATTTTTAGGAAAATCAGCAAAATGAAAAATTTGGCAACTTTTTACAACTCTGGATATTGAAGCACTTATGTGTAAGTACCTGCAATGAAGTTTCTAAGAAAAGTGATTATATGCTTGCTGCAGAGAGCGTGTTTGCATATTGGTAAATAAATATGTTGGTTTTTTTTTATTTTTTGTGTATTCAGTATACTATATTGAACAAAATGATTATGAGGCCCACACTCCTCATTCTCTTAGTTATCTGACCTGCTGTGAAAAAAGTTTGGTGACCCCTGGTTTAGCTAATCACTTAAAATTTTATGATTTTTAAAAATTTTTTGAACTTTTAATTGGTGTTTTGGTATTTTAAATTGATAAAGAACAATTGAAAGTTGTTGCCCATAACTTTAAAAAATTGCAAAACTAGAAATAATATTATTATAAAATAAAATTATAATGCAGTTAAGGACTCAAAAATATAGTTTATTATAAATTATTAAGTATCTATTTAGAAAGATACATGACATTTTCTGTATTAGCATAAATAACTATTCATTTGCATCATTAATGCTATCATGTAATAATATGTTAATAAATAACCAAACAATCATAGTATAAAATATATATATAAAATATATTATATTATCATAGTATGATAATATAATATATTTTATGTTAGTCTGATTTTGCATACCTCATTTGGCAATGGTTATGATAAATTTCTTGAAAATTTTAAAGAAAATAAGTATAAAATAAGTAATTTTAGCTAAACATCTATAAATCAACTTTGTATACAGGCATTGAATCATGAAAAGTGCACATTAAGTTTGAAAATATATGGTACATTTTCCATCTTGAATGTTTTATTCTCTTACAATACTGGTTTTAACAGCATTGTTTTTGTTTTTGCAACTGAATAGATGATGTGTAATTTTAACTAAACAATATGTAACATTTTAACTAAAAACAAACAATTTGATTAATTAAATCTAAATATTAGAATCATAGCACTATTTTTTAAATTAATGTGTTAAGTCTATTGTTAATGTATTGATCTCAGCTAATTTTAAATGACATATCTTTATGTAGTATATTGTTGAATAAATAAGAAAATTATCATAGTTTAAGAATTTCTCTCTTGTTATTATAAGATATTAAAAATAAAAAAAAAAGCTTCAAATTAAAATCTTTGTAATCCATGAGAAGTTATTATATAGAAGAAATGTTTCCAATCATCAAGTGAATATCCCTTTGATGATTATCCCTCATTTAATGTGATTACTTATCCCTCACTTAATTATCCCTCCTAGAACTGTGATTATTCCTCACTTAATCATAGAATTTTAAGTAAGTGTGACCATAGGGTCGGTATTAGGGTTTCTCATTTCCCGGGAAATTTGCCTCCAGCAGGATTACGGGAAAAATAATTTCTTTTCCCGGGATCCCGGGAAATTCTGGGATGAGATAGTAAAATAGAATTTTATATGAATAAAAAAGATCATACA